ACATGAACGACGTAAAGATACCCTGAGCTAGTTCACGAAATTCCAGCTTCCTGCTTCACCATGCACCCGCACTTTGCGAAATGTGTTTAAATTTGTGTCTTTAGGAAATTTACATTGCTTCAATATGGCATACAAAAGTGTGTATATACCAAGGCGCAATGTTTTACTTGACAACATAAGTGTTATGCAATTTTCGAGAACGGTACAAAAACCCATACACCGAGCATCCTCTATCTAACTTTTATAGTTTTTGAGTCATAATCGATTTATATCGATTTTTCGACTTGGGCCGAGTTATGGATAAGCAACCTTTAGCTCGTTCAAGCATATGTATATGATAATAATAATATTTAAAATTTAAATTCTTTAACATTGTTCACACAGATAGACTCTTGGTCGACTCAGCTAGTCGCCCTGATCAAGGCGTTAAATGCAGTTGCACAAAGCCATAATAAACTCTTTTCAACCTTACTCCTTACATTTGGGGTAAGTTCGGGGCATGAAATTTAAACTTTGTGTAGCTGGTCATAAGTTACATCAAAAGGTTTCCTGGAGTCGCAGCTTTAAGTAAGATTAATTGGAAGTGTTTTGCTTCATTTTTTGTTCTCTGTGTGTCAAACAAAAGATTGACAGACTAAAATTGTTTTCTTTGAGCACTTTTTTCTTTAAGCCTTGCAGCACTTTCAGCAAATGTCATTCGCCCCGCACAGTTGAAATGGAAAATTGTGTTTCCGAGCCCTTGGCCATACAAATAGTAATTGACTAACTGGTTGACTTACTGACTGACTGACTGATTGGATGATCAATGATCAGGCCAAATCGCAAGAGTTACAAAGCTAAAGTTTGTTTTGCGTTCTAAGACGACGTTTTGATAAGTTCCACCCGCAACTGCGGAATATTGGTGGAAATTCTTTTTGTAAAACATTATTTGCTGGAATTAAATCTCATTTTAAAGCGTTTTTTCTAAAATTAAATCAGAGTCATGACTGACATTTTTTGCTTGATTTCCCAGCCTGAAAACTGAACGAAGTTTTAACTTTAAGTTTTCTTCCATATTCTTCCACTCATAAAATGTGACTTGAGACTTGGGCTTAGGGTAGTAAAAGTAATGTATAAGATTTATAGAATAAAATTAAATGAACAGCGCAAAGCCGAGTAATATAAGCTAATACCATTTAACTTACCTTTAGATTCAAAACGTGATTGCTGCAAAAAGAAGAAGATAAAAATATATTAAAAACAGTGCAAATTTTGGAAAAATGTTAAACAGGTAGCTCAGATATGTGACGGATATTAGAGTGAGAAAGAGAGAGAAAGAGAGAGAGAAAAAGAGGAAGGGAAAGAGAGAGATAGAAAGGCATTAAGCTGATGTTGATAAGCCTGGACATACACATGAATAGCTTGGAAACGCAACGAGGATGTCTGCGTGTTTGTGTGTGAGTGTGTGAGTGTGTGTTTCGCGGACACCATTCAAGGCACATATAAAATAATGGCAAATGAAAAGCGGGTCACACACACACACACACACACACGCACACTTAGAGGAGCACGCACTGGTCTGGTGTTGTTGGTGTTTTGAAGGCTGCCGAATGGGATTGAATCATTGAATTGAATTGAATACGTGCGAGCACGAAACAGAAAGCACTGCTACGTGTTCCGCTCATGTTGTTGCTGCTGTTGTTATGTATTAGCAGGATGTCAATGTGTGTTGCCTGGAATTATGTATGTGTACACAAACAGTTGGCAGCAACAAAACAACATGGATGGGAATCCTAAATCCTGCCGCTCGCCTCCGACAGCCCAGATGGCATCGCACGCGTAAAAGGCATCAAATGTTGTCCGAAAAAAGCAAAGCACATCAAAAAAGAAAGAAAGCAGAGGGCAAACAAAAAACACACAGGGAGACCGCTCCCTAAAACCGAAGCACTGTGCACTGTGGCACAGTCCAGTGGCGGATCCTTTGGCTGTGGCCCCAAATTGACATCAGTTGCTGATTTTTAATTAAAAATTTGCGACGTGTGAAGTTGATTTCAATTTGGCGGGTGCCCAACTGACAGTTGAATGAATAGACAGCCGAGACACAAGATACAAAACGTGCAGCTCGACCTTACGCTGTGTTAGAGCCTGTGCGCATATCTATATCCAGCACATATATCTATCTGTATATTATAAATATATATAGCTACTGTTTATGTTCGTGACTGACCACTTGACTGGACAGGCGCTAGCTATCAGCCGCGGGCCTAGAACTCGGCTGAGCCAAGAAGCCACGAGAGAAATATTACTCTGCAAAGGACGATGAGGACGCCCGATGTTTATCAATTGCATACGAATGCATTGGGCAAGAGCTGTGGTCATATTCATGGAGACAGCACGAGTGCACAGCACGTGAAAAAGTTTTGGCCCAAACACGATAGCTGGGTCCAGCAAAATGTGTCGAACCTATGCAGTAAATTTGCTAAATTTGATCCTGAACCGATAATTGATCGCTGGATGGAGCTGGATTGTGACTCATTGCAGCATTATCTACGGAAGCACGAATGACTGAACTCAACAATTAACTGCAGTGCTTCGGCTTTGGCCTAAAATGTTCTCATGTGCAGCTACCTGGATCCGCTTCTAGCCACAAACAAGCACAGCATGGCTATTTATCGAAAGTGGAACTGATCGATGGCGCTGGCCCCTTAATACCCTGGGTGCACTAAGTACAACATTTGCCGCATTGAATTTATGCCAGTCTGCTGTAATTTCTCGTGCCGTGCGTTAAGCAACTGCAACTCGTATCTGTTTCAGCTACTTCACAATGCTTATGAAATCTTAATGCACTATTTTGATTCGTAACAGTCGAACAGAGAGTAGGAAGGGAATCTGTAATAATGCCGCTGCTGCTGCTGCTGCTGGCGATTAGGTCAGTGGATGCCTTCATAAATATACAGATTAAATATTGAGTTAAATGCCAGACACACAAAAGCTCACGACTGTTGCTTGTTGCGGGGAATTAGCCAACTGCCACGAGTGCCAATGATGCTGGATTGAAAAGCAAGCGCAATAAGCACATGGAAAATCGTTTAAGACTAGTTGAAGAGCTACCAAAACTCAACCCTGCCTCCTCCCTCCCTCCTGCCTCACCAGAAGCCCAATAGTCATTTGCATGAATTTTAAGCTGTGGGTACTTGTGGACCAGACTAATTGAACCATGAATGCTTCATAAGTGCTGCGGGTGTCAAAGTCATTGTCTTATATAAGACGTAATGCCGTAATGACATTAACCTTATCAAGTCTGCATGTGTGTGCGTCTGCGTGTGTGTGTATGTGTGTGTGTGTCAAGAGGCTCTTGACGTTCACACGCGCATTCGACACGCACCGCCCAAAAAGACGAGACGAGACAAGTTGAGGACAGAGGCCGGTGGCCAGTTTTATGACCGATACGCGGACCCAGGCCCACTAAAAAGCTATTAACAAGTAATAATGACAACAACAGCAGCAACAACAATAACAACACGAGCAGCAGCCATAAACTTGAGTGCAACAGTTAGAGCAATCGGATAAGTCGCGGTTGCAATGTGCCACACTTGAACTCATAAATTCTAAGAACCCGCAGATAACCTACATATATGTCTCTCCCTCTCTCTCCCTCTCTCTTTCTCTCGTACTCTGTTCCACTGTCCCTATGACAATATGTATATGTGTGCACGTGTGCGTGTGTGTGTATCTTTATAAATAAACATTGTGCGTGCTTATCCCACTATATGTCTTACGTGCGTGGCTGCGTGTGTGCGTGTCTGTGTGTGTGTGTGTCTGTGTGTGTGTGTGTGCTTAAGCAAAGTGCAACATCAACAATGACTGCTGTGGCAGCAACAAGTTGATGCAGTTGTTGTGCCCCTTGCTGCTGCTGCGGCTGCTGCTGCGGCTGTTATTATTATTGTTGCCGTTGATTATGACAACACCGATGACTGATGTGAGATATGCATTTGTGTATGTGTACGTGTGTGTGCCTGTGTGGCCGTGTGTGTGGCACCGTCGATATACCCATTAAAACATTAAAGCGATGCCCAAGTTCACAATCTTTGTGTGTGACGTCTACCGCCGACGCCAGCGTATAGCTCACCGTGCGCACAGTGGTCGAAATGCCGTCAAAATGTCCGCAAATAATTGCTCTGTTTGCTATTTGTAAACAAAAGTGTTTTTAATTGCATGAGCATATAAAACAGACCGCGGCAAATGAGTTGTCCAACTGATACAATTCAATTGCGAGGGTTCCAGTTCGACTTCCCGGCTAGTGCATGTGCCGCGCTAATAATAATAATACTAATAGTAAAAATAATAATAATAATAATAATAATAATAATAATAATAATAATAATAATAATAATAATAATAATAATAATAATAATAATAATAATAATAATAATAATAATAATAATAATAATAATAATAATAATAATAATAATAATAATAATAATAATAATAATAATAATAATAATAATAATAATAATAATAATAATAATAATAATAATATAAAATGTAAGTTTATGTGCAAGATTTTCTCATTATTAATATTATAATAAGAATACGGTTGAATTTTGTTTCTGATTCACTAGGAATTTAAGCGCTCAATTTTTGTTAAATATTTAAGATTTAGGCGCTCAATTTTTGTTAAATATTCCATTCGGCTGAGACGTTCTTTAATTTATGCCATAGTGGCACGCTCTGTGTGCGGCCCGGACACACACAAAAAAACCGGTATTGTTCCACATGCCACAAAAGAAGCGGCTGGGCAAAAACTCACAGAGAGGAACAGCTGCTGCTGCTGCTGCTGCTGTTGGTGGCACAGAAAGCGCATTAGCTGCTGGCAGTAGGACGGTTGGCGGAGGGGGGTACACAAATGCAGGTTAGATTCACCTGGGTGGGGCAGCCACATCGGGGCAACAGGGCATTGGCAACAACACATTTCGCCAGTCGTACTTATCTCTCTCCATTCTCATTCCGTTTACTTGCAGATTGCAGAGATAAACAGAACTAGGATTGTGGGATTGGTAACGCTGCCGCACTGGAGCTGGAGGATTGCCGCGATGGCATCATCTTCGAGAGGCATACAGCAGTCTAGCGGCTGTGGCTGGCTGCTGCTGGTGCACGGGCTGCTGGCGCTGACCGCGCTTCACATGCACAGCCTGAAGGGGGCGGCAGTTGAGGCGCTGCCGATCACCTCGCGGCCCATTGAGGGCAATGCACAGAAGGATGCGTGGGAGGCATGGTTGCGTCTCCCATACGAGCAGAAGTCGCTCGAGAAACAGAAAAAGGTAATGCCCAAATCGATATTCGCATTGCCTTTCCGCCACTGCCCGCCCGGCCACAAGCTATACAACGAGCGCTGCATACCACAGATCAACATTGATCCCACCGATCTGGTGGCCCAGGAGCTGCAGGGTGCACTCGGCGAAGGCGGTGAGGTTAGCAGTGGCAGCCCCACAGACTACGATTACAGCGACAGCGAGAGCGATGAGCAGCTCTACGAGATGTCCTTGGGGCCGTTCGCTCAGAAAGATCAGCTGTCCACGCAGCCCAGTGCCAGTGGTGCTGAGGACCAGGCGCTGCCCAGCGAGGATGCCCCACTCAAGTTCAATATATTTGAGAAGAAGTTTCCCACGGCGCCAGAGGCTGTGCTGCAGCCCGATGTTGTTAATGCAACGACAGCAACAACAGCAACATCGACTTCAATGACCACGCCCACACCCACGCCCACTATAGCAACAATGCGCGAAGACGCCCTCAAGGCGCAGCGGCAGCCGGATAATCGAATTGCTGAAGGCGCTGAAGATCTGCAGGCGGATGCCAGCAATGCTCTGCCCAGTACAACTATCCTTAGCATCTCCAGCAGCAGCAGCAGCAGCAGCATTGGCTCCTTTAGCGATATTGGGAATATCGATGCCATTGTTGTGCCAGCGGGCGGACCTCTGGGTGCAGAGCCAAGCGTTCAGCTGGTGACAAGTTCGATGAGAGATGTGCCCGAGCCAAATGTGGTTACAAAGCCGAATGCGGATGCGGGGGCGAAATTTCAGGCAGAAGCAGAGCCAGTGGCAGAGGCAGAGGCAGAGACAGAGGCAGAGGGAGAGACGGACCTGGAGCAACTGCTCAAGGTTGACGCCTTTCTGCCGGCCTATGGAAGCAGCGTGGATATGATGCCGCCGTTCAGTCATCGTCGCGTCTCGCCGCTGCTCAGCGCCGATCTGGATCTGAGCGATGATACGGCCACGGATATTGTTCCAGCAGCGGCTGACAGCGAAGCTGATACAACAACAACAACAGCAACAACAGCAGCAACTGCATCGTTGGCAACGCCCACAACAACAACATTGTCTTCAGCCCAGCCGCGAGTGCCAGGAGAAGAACAAGAGCTAGATCGAGTCGTTGTGAAAAAATCGAAAGTGCAACCGGTTCAGTTAAGCTCCATAACTGAAACGACTGCAGCAACCACAACTGCAGCTACGCCAACAGCTACAGCAACAACAATGACATCAATAGCAACATCAGCAGCAGCAGTGACAACAACAACAGCAGCAACTGTCGCTGCTGCTGCTGAAACCGAAGTTGCTGCAATACATCAAGATGCCAATGGCAATACGAGAGATGATGACCGGTTTTATTATCAGCCTTTTGCCAGAGATGTTGCTGCCAGTGCCAGTAGCAGCAGCAGCAGCAGTATTGCTGACGGCGATTTGGATGTGCTGAACGATATGGCATCCAGTGACAATTTAATGACAAATACAATTGGTGGCCAGGGCGACAGTGAGAAGGCGGCAAGTGAAATTAATTTTGAACAAGAATTGCGCATTATAAACGAGCTGGTTAAGGACAAGCGGCGATTATCGCAGCTGCGACAACAGCAACAAGAGCAGCAGTCAACCAGCAGCAGCACAACAATACCAACGACAGCAACAGCAACAACGACAGCAGCAACAGCAACGATCATCGAAAGCAGCTCAGACGCGTCTAGCACAGCAACAGCAACAACATCAACAACAGCAACAACAGCAGCAGCAACAACAGCAACAGCAACAGAAACCACAAATTTTTGGTCGAGCCTCATGCCAATGCTGGGCTTGAGCTCAACGGAATCAACAGCAGCAACAGAACAATCAGCAGAGACAATTACAACGACAGCAGTCATGCCAACAGCAACAACGGCGACAACAGGCAATGTTGCTGAAAGCTCAACAGCAACAGTAACAGCAGCAGCAAAAGCAACAACAACAAATGTTGCTAACACAAAAAGCACACAACATTTAAGTATTAATACCAACCGTAGCAATAGAAATAGTAAAATAATTAGAGTAGATAGTTTTGGCGTCAGCCCACAGCCAATATCAACAGCAACAGCAGCAACAGCAGCAACATCTGCAATAGCAGCAACAGCTGCAACAGAAGCAACAGCTGCAACAGCAGCAACAGCAGCAACAGCTCCAACAGCTGCAACAGCAGCAACAGCAGCAACAGCTGCAACAGCAGCAACAGCAGCAACAGCAGCAACAGCAGCAACAGCTGCAACAGCTGCAACAGCAGCAACAGCAGCAACAGCTGCAACAGCTGCAACTGCAGCAACAGCAGCAACAGCAGCAACAACTGCAACAGCAGCAACATCCCAATCGTCTGACGATGCAAATTATACACCATTTTGGTGGCTGCCCAATATTGGCTGGCGTGTGGATCGTCAGTTGGATGAGAAGGGCGAGGATCGATCGCTGTTGCTGCGTTTCTTCAGGACTTTTCGTGCCAGCGATAGCGACGTAGCAGCAGCAGCAACATTGCCGTCGCGTCGTTAATTTCTCAAGCAATTAGAGAAATGCACTCTGTGCACTCCCCCGTGGCCTGTGCGCTGCTCTTAGCTGCTCTCGCTCCAGCCGAGACACGCTGGAGTCCACTGGTCGGCTGGGATTGCTGTCATGTCGTATGGCGATGCCAGTGGCAACAACGTTTCAATTGTTTGTTGAAGTTCTGTTTGTTCTGTTGCAATGGCGTCCAACTGTTTCCACCCCACACACAACTACTTAGCTTTCAGTTTTGTCTTTAATTTATATATATATTCATTTTAATTATTTTCAAAATTAAATATATATTCGATTTCTTTTCCTTTGGTATTTGTTTAACTATTTGTACATATTACGTAACGTCAACAATTTCGTTTATGATTTAATAATTTTTTTTTTGTTTTCATGAATTCTAATATATATGTATTTTTTTTTTGTTATTTACTTTGCTGCTTCTTTTAAGTTGTTGATTTAATTTTAATACACATTAATATAATTTTATACAATAGTTTTATTATTGTGCATATGTGGGGCCACGACATGCGAATTGCCGCTGTTGCTGTTGCATAGCTTAGCAATATTTAATTGTGATTATTTAAAGTTAAAACTAGTTTTTAGCGGGCGCGCACACACACACACACACACTAAATTTACAACTATTATTATTGATATTATTATATCTATATATTTGTAACATAAATTCCTTTCGCAACTTATACAATTTCTATATACCTCTATACGCCCACCCCTACCCGTACCTATGTAATATTACAATTATTATAATTTCTTCTACATTTATTTTTTTTTTATGTGCAGCCCCGTTGCAATTGTCTCTGTGTATATACGCTGCTTTATTTTAAACATTGTTAATTGCTGCTGCATTTGAACTTGAATTTGAATAATGTAATTAAGCTTAAATGAGAAAAATCGCGTTTGCTTTTTAAATGCTGCTAAATGAAACATTTTCAAAGATATACGAGTATATTTATAAATAATAATAATAATAATAATATGTTTTTTTTTTTAGCACTTAAGCGTAATATTTATGTTATCGAAAAAGAAAATCAAGTAACAACAGAACCATATTGTCAAGTAAATGTAATGCATGTACATAGTTATAGCTCTGTTCTTTTTTTTGTTGGTGTCTAAAACATACGAAGAGATAAACATAAATATCGAAAATATCAAATCCAAAAATAGAATGTACGATTGTATAAAACTGTTTTTCAACAGGTAAATTCCAAAATGTGTGGATGAGACTTGTTGGCTAACATCCGATCGATTGCAGGCTTAAAAGACCTTGATGAAAAATCAACTTGACTAGAAAATGGGGATCAAAGGCTGTATGTGCGAAGTTTCGCCAATGAGCGAGAAATTCGTGGAAATGCTATGTGTGAATTTGAAGAAAATATCTTAAGCAGGTCGAAGCCGGGTAGTACTCACTAGTATAAACTTTTTTGAATGCTACCAAATAACTGAGAGGCCTGATATTGTTGGAAAGATCTCGATTTGAGGCCAAAGATCAAAGATAGAGAGAGAGAGAAAGGAGAGAGAAAGAGATAGAGCGAGAGCAACAAGTTCGAGTGCAAATATGAAAGGCTAATTACGATACAAAAAAAAGCTCCTACACCTGTAGCCGGCGACTGCCGCCTTCGGCTTTCAGTATTGAGCCTTGAGCCTTAATCCTTAAGTATGCAGGCTTTTGTCTACAATTTTCATTCGCGCAGTTTTGGAGCATGATAAACTTTGCTTTGTGCGGTTGGCTTAACGAAGGGTATTGCGGTGATTATACGGGATTAAGTTGGACGCCTGGCTGGACGGAAATATAACTGCAGCAAAGTGTGGCGCTTCAGTAAACATATTATTACATAGCCCCGGATGCGGACTTGAGGCGTATATTGGTGCGCTTAGTTTTTGTGATGCATCGAAAAGTGGAGCTCAATAATGCAATCAAAGTGGATGTAGAATATTGCGGCAGTGTCTCAGCGCAGGGGTTGGCCAAAGGCAAACACTGCGAATACGAATGCCGATGCGGATGCGAATGTCAACGACAGCTGCCAGCGACGAGGAGCATTAGAATTACCAGCTGGTAGAAACAAAATCAGGGACCGGAAACTGGCGCAAACAACACACACACACACGCCCATAATATGCTAAAATATCTGTCACACTTGCCTGCAGCCGGCGTAGGTGTCGTAGATGTTGTTGTTGCTTTTGTGCGTTGCTGTGTTTGATTCGTGTAGCAAATGCCATTAGGAAAATTTAACTTTTTTCCCCGAAAATCCTTGGGCAAACATATGCAGACGGCATGTTAACATGGCGAATAAAATGCAACTGAATTGAGAGAGAACGAGAGCGAGAGCTAAAGAAATTGGCAGAGGAATGTTGAAATGCGTGTTTACCCAACGATCTGCATTAGGCGCTGATTGCAGCAGCTGAGTTTGTATAAACCCATGCGAATTCATTTGAATTTCCAAATATGAATGTATATGAATACACCCATGTGCATATATATGAATAAAATCATACACGGCTGGTTTGTGGGCCATTGCGTTCAGCCGCTGTTTGTCAAGTTTTGTTGCTGTTTGGCTAGCTGCATGATTTCGTGGCTACAGCGCCACCTTGGGGCAGGCAGCCGCGCAAGCAAGGCTGTATTTATGCTGCATACCTTTGGGCGCGCGCCAAAATTATTATTACATTTATGCAAAATAAGAATTTCAGCTCGAGCTAAAGACATACAATTTAATAAATAGGGAGAGAGAGTGAAAGAGAGAAAGCGAGAAGGAAAGAGAGAGAGAGCGACGGATAGAGAGTGAGAGAGAGAGTAAAAGAGTATTTGCACTTTTCATTTCAATTTATGCTATATTTGTCAAGTAAATCGAACAAAATATAAATAAAATATTTCAATTACAGAAGAAAATTTGTATTTGTTTCGGGAGCCTCTGAATTATTGTCGAGTGGTGTATGTTGTTTGGTGATTGGGTGAGTGGATGAGTGGGTGGTGTGGCTGGTTGGGCTGTTTTATTTATAAGCCAAATGGCAACTTTTGCAACTGCTGCTGCTGCTGTTGCTGTTGCCAGAAGGAAATTGCTGTTTATTTAACTATTAAGCTCAACTGCACACTGAAAACAGGACGATAAAACGACGCACTTAAACGTTGGCATATTCGCAGTGTGTGTGTATATGTGTGCGTGTGTGCATAAAATATAAATGAAACGCCGCCTAATGCTATGCAATACAAAGTCTCAATGTGCTGTGCAGTATTTTAGTTTTCAATGGCTGAGCTTTTATGCAAAGTAAACAATACGCACACACACACACACACACATTTACATACGTACGTAATTCAGACAAGTGCCTGTGCGTGTGTGTGCATGTGTGTTTGTATTTGTATTTGCCAGTTGAAGCATTAGCTATTGTCTGCCAGTCAAACCTGCCCATATTGGCATACGCGTGGGTGACTGGTTGATGTTGGTGGGGGGTGGGGTGTGGAGTGTGGGATGTTGGTGGAGCGGCGCTGCACAGGACTTAACTGAACTGAAACGAAGCTTCACAATCTGCTCAATGAATCTCAATAAGTTTGTCATGGCTGCTGCCTTTGTGTGTGTGTGTGTGTGTGAGAGAGTGTGAGTGCTTGAACATGTTTGCATTTGTGTGCGTGTGCTAAATCAAGCGGTAATTGGGACTACTTGCCACCGCTACCCCTGCGCCTGCTGCTGCTGCTGCTGCTGTTGCTGCTGCTGCTGCCGTTGTTTATATAATTGAAACTAACACAAATAAAGTGCGAAAGCTTTCTGATTATGGGGCTTTGCGCCTGCCACAAAATGAGCGTGGCTAAAAGCCCAGCCAAATGCTGTCTCGTTACCGTTGCCGCTGCCACTGCCATTTACATTGAAGATGCTGCTGAGGCTGTTGCTTGCGTACTTTGCTCTGAATCGCATTCCACAGTATCGTCTATGGTGTGCACAGTGGTTAAGAGTGACGTTAATCAATATGAATAAATAGATAGAGTTAAGGCAAGTGACAAATTTACGTAGAGAAAGAAAAACGTACAGAAGTGCCTACGTTAAGCACAGCATTAAAAACGAGCTATACATATATGTTCACATTTTTGTATATTTATTTCCTAGTACCGCCCATTGTGCGCGGCACATAAGACGCAAGGTGCCTCAGCGAAAATGTATATGTGTGTTCTTGATTAGTGCTTATGTGTGTGTGTGTGTGTGCATGTGTTTGTGCGCTGTTGTTTAAGCTGTTGTTAACTTAAGTACGACAATGATAAGGATAACGTTAGGCGATTGCGATTTTGTTGGCATTAAAGCTGCCAAACGAGCTCGGGATGCTGCTCACACGCACACACATATACATGCGCACATACATATATACGCATGTTTACACCTTATTTATTTGGCACTTTCATTGCTGCCTCATACACACATGCACACACACACACACGCGCACACTTCACACTAGAGGCTGCACCCCAATTTGGCCACTTACTCAAACAATTGTGTTAAGTAATTGGAATGGTTGGGATTTTCTGTCTCAACAGAACTTTAATGTTGTTTATCGCGGCGCCTATCACTCCATTGAAATTTCGATTCAGCGTAAAATGCGTTTTTGGCACGGCTTTCAATTTAATCGGCCCGGAATACGTTAACACCAAAGTGGAGCGTACAGCGTCGTACAATTACAGTGAAAACTCTCTTGGACGCGCAGCGAGTTTACGCCTAATGTGAATGTCCTGTAGGCGAATTTTTACTGTATATAATCTGTGGTTGTTTTAGTAAGTATAATGCTAGATTTGTTCGATATAATTGCATCTATAAGCGGCTATCTTTTGAGCCTATCTGAAGCGGATTTGGCCAGCACTCGGTTCGTTAGTTTGCCATATGTCAAAGGGTCTGTTGTCGTTGCTGTTGCTGTTGCTGCTGTTGTTGTTGTTGTTGTAATTGCTGCTCAATGAAAATGTTTGAATGCTCATTTCACGCTATTCATTCGGATGTATTTACGCACCCACACACACACACACACACACGTCATGCAACTCAATTAATGACAACAAATGCAAATTACATTTAAATGTGGCGCATAATTTTGCATTTGGCTGCCTTTTCCTGTGGTTATGTGGTTGGCATTTTAGTTATTTACGAGCCGTCGCTTCCTAACCTCCCTCCCCGCACTGCAGCACCAACAGTAGCAACTCCCTCATTAGTTAACCCAGCCAAAATGTGCATTGGCCAAAATGTGGCATTATTTTAGCTGCAGCTGTCTATCAATTTAAGTGCCAACTGCAAGTCCGATCAATAGACGAACAAATGCAAAGTGTGTCAAGTGTGTGTGAGAGAGAGTTCAAGGGTATTTAAAGTCTAAACATTGTAACTGAAATTAAACTCCCGATATCCTGTTTTTTGGGCAATTTTGGTAAATAAAAAGAGCTAGAGTCACGAAACATGATATCTTGCTTGTAGAATATTATATATTTGTCAAGTATCTTTCATTTTATACCTATCGCCACCTCTCCGCTACCACCACAGAGCTATAAATCAAGTTAATAACCCAACTTTTATTGCCAACCAATTTAAGACAAAATTTAAATGCAATTGACTTTTTTAGTATACACAAATATTCCATGATACGATAAGATATACTGAACTATTAAACATCGTTGGGTTAAAAAATGTTAAAGACAAAAAAAACATTAGTTCGTAAGGTCAACCTTTTTGATGATTTGTTGGAATATTTCCGTCAAATAATGTCCGATTTTGGAATTTTATACCGTTTTTGACTCGTAAGGAGCAATTCTATCGATTGGCATCAAAAAAAGGAAATCCAAATTTTGACCCAAATCGACAAAATGGGGTTACATAGCTCCGCGCGGAGATATGACGTTTCAAAACGACATAACTCCCCGCGATATGAACTTCCAAATCATCACGTTTTTTTTTTCAATATCGAAGTCGGTGCGAATATCGAAACTTTTTCGATGATTTTTTTACAATATCTCTGTTAAATATCTCTGGTAAGCAGCAGTTCTATAGATTGGCATCAAAAAAAGGAAATCCAAAATTTTGACCCAAATCGACAAAATGGCAAGGGGTTACATAGCTTCGCGCGGAGATATGACGTTTCAAAACGACATAACTCCCAGCGATATGAACTTCCAAATCATCACGTTTTTTTTTTCAATATCGAAGTCGGTGCGAATATCGAAACTTTTTCGATGATTTTTTTACAATATCTCTGTTAAATATCTCTGGTAAGCAGCAGT